TGGTCAATCAGAGCACACCTCGCTTTTCAGACCTATGAGCTTTGTAAAAATCGACGCGTTTCAGAAAGGCGGGCCATAGAGGAGAAACAATAATGTACAGTATGGGGAAAATAATGTGTTTTTTTAACCTTAAACCGCATAAACACATTGCATTACACCAAATACACAAAATAATGTTCTTTTTAGCAACATCATATGACCCCTTTAAAGCAAAACACCATGCATCTGATGATACCTTTGCCAAATGTTTGATCTTGACCCCTGAGACCAGTCCAGCTGGCTCCGCTTCAATGAATTCGCCCTTCGACACCTTCTCGGCCTCCTCCTCTTCCTCCTTCTCCTTCAGTAGGGCCACACGAGGGCTGCTGCACCAGTATGAGGGCTGAGCGCAGATGAGGAGGAGAAATATTAGATAAACACATTCATAACATTACACCATAATGGCTAAATGTTCCCCATTTGTTTCATAAACATTCACATAATGCTCTCTCTCATAAAATGTAAATGAGTGCAAAGGCCTGTTCACATTAAGAATTATAATTATAAGATAATGATAACTATATTAGTGTTCACACCAAGGTTGGATTCTGGTTGGCAGTCAATGTCTTTATCGTTCATCAGCTGGAAAAAAAAAATTATTCTGAAAGTGATCCCAATGATATTATTCCTGTGTATCGTTTATCATGATAGTTGTGCTGTGGATTCCGATATTCTCTTAAATTTAGATCGATTTTTAAAACTTTATCTTTATGGTTCATGTTGTCAATGGTTCACATGACCAGTTGAACTTGTTGCGAAATTCCTGATTGCGTGGATTCCTATTGGAAAAAAACAACTGGATTTTGCCATTGAATATTGACTCAACAATGGTAAATGTAGCCGCAGTTTAAGCATTTGAAGTCTGTCAGGTAAAACATCAATTTACTGACGCAATTCAATCGATCTGCTATTTCAGAGGTTTCTTTAAATATTTAGTTTATACATAAAGTTACGTTTCAACTACGTTTAATGCTGAAATGCAAAAAGTCGTTTCTGCTGCGAATTAGAGTGACCAACTTGAACCAATTGCGCAGATTCTCATTGAAATAACTAGATTTCAACGTAAAAATCCAGTAAACGTGACTGCACCTTAAACGTCTGAAGTCTGTCAAGGAAAACATGACTTTAAATATATGTAATATAGGATTTTTTTCACCAGTTTTACTGATAATTGCATTGCTGAAAAAGACATGCTTAAACCAGCCTAAGCTGGTTTGCTGGTCTTTTTTTTTACTCACAATTTATACCTCATAAAAAATTGTAGCACTTGGCATAACTAGAAAATTTTATAAAAATGCCCGTTATACATGTTTTACAGGTGCATCTCAATAAATTAGAATGTCGTGGAAAAGTTCATTTATATGACTTTTCCAGGTCTAAAAATCACACTTTTAAAATTAGCCTTCCTCATATATCAAGGTTTTTCTAGACATTAGAAATCATTTTAAGTCATATTGAAGCCTCCTTGGAGGTTTGCTCAAGTCCCCAGGTTGATAATGTCCAGGCAGAAGACCAGTTAAGACCAGAAAACCAGCACAGATTGGTTTAAGATTAATTGATAAACCAGCATAGATTGGTTCATTTTCAGTGCTCAGGTAACATTTAATGTAACATCCATCATGTCCACAGAATAAACTATGTCAGTGTTACAGCCATTCAAATCCCTAAATGTGAACAACAGTAATAAGTGATGCTTGCCTTAAAAAACACCACTAAAAACATAACTAATAAGTAGTGCTGTAAAAAGATTAATTGCGATTAATCGCATCCAAAATAAAAGCTTTTGTTTACATAATATATGTGTATAATGTGTATATTTATTATGTATATATAAATATAAACACAAGCATGTATATATTTAAGAAAAAGATGTTATGTTTATATGTTCAATATATTTATATATAATATAAAATATAACGTATTGTATGTATATACATGTAAATATTTTCAAAATATATGCTGTATGTGTGTGTATTTATATATACATAATAAATATACACAGTACACAAACATATATTATGTAAACAAAAACTTTTATTTTGGATGTGATTAATCGCGATTAATCGTTTGACAGCACTACTAATAAGTAACTAATAAAGTGTAAGAAATTCCTGCAAACCCATAAATCTGTGAAAACATTTACAGATAAGCTCAAAAGCCAGGTCATTCATTACGTTACACTCTGTGTACAAAGGCATTTGTGTATTAACATGCTAGACATCCACTGAGTCAAAGGTGTGACCCAGAAGGCCATTGTTTCATATCACTTTCACTCTGAAGGGGTCTTTATTGCCGCTCCGCTGATAAGCCTGTCTGCAAACACAAGCATTGACGCAGCGGGTGTCCTACATATACAATAGCTCTGCGCAAATCATGTCCACTGTTCTTCATCCCCTCCCTCTTCACGCCCTACAGTAAATCCTGTATGTCTGGAGATAAGGCTGCGCATGCACTTCCTGGCCTTCTTGATGACATAAGCACGGTTTTCCTGCCGAGACCAAATGCTTCCTGTCTTTCAAGAGCCTGTCGGTCAGGAAGGTCACTCAAGTTGCGCTCGTGCTGGTTCTCACTACCTCGCACTTTGAAGACTTCCCATGGGTGAACCGCTTATCTCTGTGACAAGTTCATGAGGCCAAAATAAACCTACTTTGAGCACAGTTTCGCAAGAACACTAATCCATGTGATGCGCACGAGGAAGTTTGAGGATTGAGGAAATAATCGCTCAAAATAAACACGCTCATGGTCAAAAACATTGAAGGCCGGATTCACAAAACATTGTTAAGAACAAAATTCTGCTATCTTCTTATTTTCTAAAAATAAAGTTAAGAATATTTTGCACTGCCAAAAACATAATTTTTTTCTTAGGATCGTTTTCAAAACAAAATTTAATAGCAACAATTTGAGCTCATGAAAACAATGTTCTTAAAAATCATCGTAATTATTAACTTTTTAAAGTCTGAATAACCTTCAACTTGTCTTAAATGCTCAAAGGGAAGTTGTTTAGCAAATTCATTTGGGTTGTTTCAAATATTTAGCATTACAACATACTGTAACACTAGTGACATACATTACAATTACGTGAGTTCATATGATTATATATACAACGATCTGTCGTGATTATATACATGATGTGACTTTTTGTTTATTTGAAATTCAGTAAAAAAAATCTTTCCAATTAAGTCTAATTTCTTAAATTTTCCTATGAATGATTTATAAAACATCCATACGCATAAAAATATCCTAAAGCAGATGCTCATTTGTGCATATAATAATATGAATATTAATGGATTTTTAATATTATTATCTTTACATTTTAATAAACAAAAGGTTTGCATGCTCTTTTTGCCTTAAAAATCCTGATTTGTTGACAAAGGATTAAATTCAAGGATGGAATTTAGTATCAAATTCAATCAAAAGATCATCCATCATGAGACAGAAAAAAAAAAAAAAAATTATTTTGTATTGTATTTTTTATGTAAAATACACAGCGCATTAAAAATGTGACACAGAGAGCTGAACTCCCGTCAAGCCAGAAATAGTATGCACACTGCACAATTATTATTATTATTATAGTAATATGCAGGCAATGTCAAAAAGACAGGTTAATAATAATGTTCTTAATAAATATAATAAATATATAATAGGTATTAAAATAGTAAGATGTTCTTAGGAAAAAATTCAAGAACTTAAATATAAATATCATCATTATTCTAATATCTAATTTGCCTTCATTTTGCGTGTCTTTGTTATTGTTTAAATATTGAAAATATATACGTTTTATTTGGTTGTTTGTTTGCAAAAAACAGAAAACACAATCAAATATAAATCATTTACAAAGAAAATGATCACGAACATCTTAAGAACTTTCCAAGAATTGCACTATAGTCCAATCAAAAAATGACAATTTTGTCAGCATTTACTCCTCTTCATGTCGTTCCAAACCTGACTTTCTTCTGCTAAACACAAAAGAAGATATTTTGAAGGATGTTAGTAACCAAACAGTTTCGGTTTCCACTGACTTCGATTGTATTTTTCATCCATACAATGCAAGTCAATGGGAACCGAAACTGTTCAGTTACCAACATTCTTCAAAATATCTTCTTTTGACAAAAGAAAGTGATACAGGAAAAAATATTGGACTATCCCTTTAGGAAACAGCTTAACTTCTTAGTGAATTCAACCCCTACCAGTTGATGTGCATGTAGACCAGGGGTGTCCAAACTCGGTCCTGGAGGGCCGGTGTCCTGCAGAGCTTAGCTCCAACTTGCTTTAACACACCTGACTGGAAGTTTCTATGCCTAATAAGAGCTTGATTAGCTGGTTCAGGTGTGTTTAATTAGGGTTGGAGCTAA